TTTTTATGGATTGGGCACACCTTTTGAGGGTGCGATTTTTTATGGGTCCGACAAGACTCTGTAAACTGTCCCGACATTGATTCCGGTTAGTTTCTACATGGGTCCGACAAGACTCTGTCAACTGTCCCGACATAGATTCCGGTTAGTTTCTACAAGGGTCCAGCAAGACTCCGTAAACTGTCACCACAACTGTCACAATAGTGTCTGCTACAACGGTCCGACATGACTCCGTAAACTGTCTGCTACAACGGTCCGACATGACCCCGTAACTGTCTTCTACACCGGTCCGCCATGACCCCATAAACTGTCTTCTACAACGGTCCGACATGACCCCATAAACTGTCCTCTACATGGTTATGACACCCCCATACAGTGTCCTCTACACCGTTATGACACAACCATTCGGTGTCTTCACCAATGGTCTCACACGACCATACAGTGTCTCCTATCCTCTTTTATTTTTATGTATTTTCTTGTTTTGTTCCTCTCTTCAAACTCAAGTTGGTTAGTTTCTATCCTCCTTGAGTTTGCGGGGGGCTGTTAGAATTTACCATCACCTACCACCACTACCACCTCACCTACTCCACTAAACCTAACCCACTACACCACTACCACCTCACCTACTCCACTAAACCTAACCCACTACACCACTACCACCATCTACTACACCTACATCTATATAAGGAACCATTTGTAATAGACAGTATATCAATCAATATCAATCAATAATACATTGAATTTTATCACATCTGTACTTCAGGGATTATATGTTATTTGTTTTTTCTTGAGTGTGGGTCTTCTCCAAGAATCATTAAGTTGAGCAGGTAGCCTGAAAGCCTTTGCAGCTGTAACAGTAAATTTGGATTGGACAAACATATCTGTCTATTGTTTTGGTGACATAATGCCTTGTTTGAGATGCTTAAGCTTTCTACCCGGTGCTTAATTTGTACTTTCCTCAGGCATCGAACAATTGCATTACCAGCTTGCCAGAAGAGCTGGTGAATTGTTCGAAATTGTCGAAGTTGGATGTTGAGGTACTATAGAAACTGCTCTTATTTAGGGTACTTGAAGATCTTTTTGGACCTCTAAGTTGGATGACTGGACTTTAAGTTTATAATTTATCTTTCTACATGCAGGGAAACAAGCTAACGGTGTTATCTGAAAGTATATTTGCATCATGTATCATGCTCACAGAACTTAATGCATGTAAATATCTGCATTCTTGTCTATGGTTTTTTAATTTTTATGTTGACAACCAATTAGTTTACTTACATTAATGAATTTTTAAGCCTCACTTTACAATGAATAATTTTTCAGCAAAAAACTTGCTGAGTGGTATGCCACAGAGCATTGGAAGCCTTTCACGTCTCATTCGTCTTGACCTTCATCAGAACAGTGAGTAAATTAAGTATCCTTATGCTATGTTTGGTTGGGGGATTTGGGGAGGTATTTAGAAAGGGAAAGGGAAAATGTGTATGAAACTAGGTGAAACTTAGATATATTTTATTCACATTTCACTTACCTTTTCCATTTCCATTTCCATTTCCAAATCCTTCGTCAAATCCTCCAACCAAACACAGCATTAATGGGTTGTGTTGTGTGTATAGGTTTGATTATAAAAGCTAACTCAATGAATACTGTGTACCTATTCTGTTATCTGTTAATTTAATTTCATTACTACTGATGTATAATCTGTGTATAAATTCGGCAGGAATTTCTTCAATCCCGTCATCAATAATGGGTTGCTCTTCCCTTGTGGAGTTCTATATGGGGTCAGATTCATCTATTAGTGTTTCAAAAGAATTGGCTAATGAGGGTTTTCATAGTGTGGTGTTTTAGATATTTTTAAACTGTCATCTCTGATAATTACATGGAACTTGTTTCTCCTTTCAATTTGCAGGAACAATTTGTTGTCCTCATTGCCAGCAGAGATAGGAGCACTTCCTCGCTTAGGGACTTTTGATCTTCACTCAAACCAGGTTGTCTTGACATCTATTTGTTCAAGTGACCTTTCTTCATTAGTTTGTCGCAACTTGCAATAAATAAGCTTGAGTATGACCCTTGTTTAATACGAGTCCCCTTAGGTTTATTTGTTTTTCTGGGAAATGCATTTCTCAACGTGGTCCAACTTTTGAAATAAAACTTGAAACTAGTTTCTCAATTAGTTGTGATGTCCCCTGACTATTTCACAATGTGTGCAGTTGAAGGAGTATCCCGTTGAGGCATGCAAATTGCGTCTTTCAGTTCTAGATTTGTCCAATAATTCATTGTCTGGCTTGCCTTCCGAGATTGGTAAGGCTTGCCTTTATTCACATTACAGTTGGCAGTAGTTTTTCATTTTGTATAATTTACGATGTATATTTTTTACATGTGGACACTTTATGTGATAAAGATTTTCTTCCTTAATATTATAAGAAATGCTTGCACACTAATCACGGTGCTCTATTTTCTGCCTCTTTTCACACACTTTCGGAAACATGAAAGGAGATGAGACTTCACCGGATTTATTTTATTCCAGGAAAATTTATAGATCGATCTAGTTGCAGTGGGATAAGGAGTGAACTGAAATGGTTTGGTGGTTTTTCTCAACTGCCTTCACTTCACGTCTTCTTTTCTAGTCAAATTACTCATAATAGCGTTATCTTGTTGTGATGGAAACACTAATAGAAGGCTTCTTTATTGATTGAGAGGATATTTGGCATGTTTGTGCTTCTAAATCTACTACTTTGTTCTCTTCATGGATTTAGTACTTGAATTAAAAGCTCTGACTTTATTTAGGTGAAGACCATTCCTTAATAAGGGATTTAATTGGTAATTGCATTCTTGTTCTAAATTCTGTTCTAGCAGTTGAGTCAACACAGGCTGGAGCACACCTCTCCCCAGAGTGAGAAACTCCATCCTGATGCGAAAATTTGGAGGGGAAATTGTTAGTTAATATTATTGATTTATATATATCAATTTCCTTGTCTAGGATATTGTTGCCTGTTTATTGTCTATCTGATCTAACACATCCTACAACCTAGGTATGATGACAACCTTGCGGAAACTTCTACTTATGGGCAATCCTATGCGAAGCCTTCGAAGGTTTGATTCATTGTCTTGGTCATTTGCTTTATTTTTCTGCTTAAGTTGGTTTAAGAGTTTTTTTAACTGATTCTTTCTCTCTCTTAGCACATTGGTAAATGGACCTACACCCGCTTTATTGAGGTATTTGCGAAGTAGACTCCCAGCTGATGAAGGTATTTAGTACTTGGGTTTGGGCCTTTTTGATGCTTTTAACACCAAGCCCTCTATGTTCTCATACTTTATGTCTCAGCTGTACAGCAGTTTAAAGTTTTCCAGCGTTTTGAAGTTGAGCCTATGAGAAATATTCGTATTGTAGTTCTTGTCAGTTTAATTTTGTGTCAAATAAAAAAATTTCTCTTGTAGAGTCTGCAGCTTCTACTCCAACAAAAGACAATGTAGTTTCCATGGCAGCTCGAATGTCCATCACTTCAAAGGTATTTTACTCACTATACACTTCTATATCTTTCTCCTTGTCTTTCTCTTGAAACCTAAGGCTTGACTCTTCTTTGATAGATCAAATGTCTAGATCTGCAAGTATTGTACTTGGGGAAACTTACAGAATTTTTTGAAAAATGAATTTATATGATCCAACCTTAGCTAGTTTGTAAACTAATTGGGATTTGTAGTGTCTTTTCTCTGTAGAGCTCGCTGGTGTATTACTGGGGTTTTAGTGTCTTTTATGTGGACATCTTGATGGCGGAGAGCATGTTTTAAAATTTACATTGAATGGAATGTATAATCCCAAAGAATAAGCAAATATATTGTTGCAAATAAGGATGATGGGATGGGAGTGGTATGACTTGAGATAGGCATGGACCTAACCTTAGCAGTGTTTGCATGAGGTGGCTGCTCTCAAACTCAAACCCGATATCAATATTTTTTAGATAAACATATGTTAAACCTAGCATTTCTTATTTGAAGAAGATTTTCTTATGTTCATGGGCAGCTAATGAAGACTGGGTGCGTAACCATAATCAAAATTATAATATGAAATATGAAGTCATTCATTACGTTTTTTAAAAGAGGCTAGAAAAGAAGATGTGAAATAGAAGCAATCTCAAGCAAAATGCCTTTAGCCTTAAATTTCATCCTCAATTTCTTCACCAAGTACAGCACTTTATAAATATGCACATATATAAATATAAAACATGTATTATATTTACACCGTCCTATTTCAATACTAAACCTTTGCATCACCTACAATACAATATTATCAATTCATGATCTTAAATCTTATAATTCTCTCTCTGCACATATATGAGATATTATGGCCCACCATGTGCTTTGAATTACTATAATGTGTCATTTATTATGTAGAACCCATTTCTCTTCATTTTATTTATGTAAAACTTGAATTCTCTGTCAGCATCCAGACCTTTTTTTTTTTGGTTTAATGTCTTTTTTCTGAGAAGTTCTTGATTTATGTTCTTCAGGAACTCTCTTTAGGAGGACTTGGTTTGAGTGCTGTCCCATCCGAAGTGTGTGAGTCAAGGGAAGTCACAAAAGTCGATCTTTCTAAAAATTCAATTGAAGAGTTACCTGCCGAACTTTCTTCATGCGTTTCCCTTGAGGTATATGTTTTGGTTTTCTCAATTAACATAAAAATAGAAATTAGGAAAGATGACAGGAAAGTGGGGATGCAATATTATGCTGTTTACAGCCTAATTGATAATAGCTGTAGTCCTGAAACTCACAGTATTGTTTCTGCAACCCAACATTATTTGCTCTTCAACAATGACAAATGTACTATGAAGTATGTAAGTGAGTGTAAGGTGGGATGAGTAGGTTTGATGTTTCTCAGGTCTAAACAAAGATTCAATATATTTATACGCATTAATTTCAGGTGTCCAAGTACAGTTGCAATCTACCACATAACCCATTAATTATACAATATGGCCAATCTGAAGATTTTTCGTAAGTTAAGAAGTTCCCTGTTTCACCTATTTTCTGGACTGCATCCAGGGAATTGGTGCATCATTGGATATTTAAGTTCCTTCAGCCAATGTGCTTCATGTGGAACAAAAGACTTGTCACTGCTAAAAAATGTTGTATTAGTGCACAAGGATCCCACTTATATTAACATTTGGAGGAGAGGTAATAGACCCACTTTTCATGTAGAGGCTGATTTCCGTGACTCAATGACGCCACAATGCTTGGCAGATGAGCACTTGCCATCCTGCTAGGTTACAAAAGATTGATCCCTGGCATACATCAAATTAAACATCCTTTCATTTGAGCCTCCAATATGATGCAAGGTACTAAACTCTTTTTAGGATGTCCGTCTTAATTGATTCAGTATACTAATGTAAGAATTTGATACATGAATTTCATCTATAACATTCCAGATATTGAGCCCTGTTTGGTTAGGAAGTTCTGCATTTCGGTGTCCAAGGATGGATCATTTTAAATTGGCTGCCCCTCATCTCAATACTTATTGCAATGCAGGCTTTGATTTTATCCAGGAACAAGATCAAAGAATGGCCCGGTGCTATTTTAAAGTCACTTTCTAACCTTTCATGTTTGAAGTTGGACAATAATCCACTGCTACAGGTAAATGAGATTTGATTCTGGATTTTGTATTACAAAATGTAAGTGAAATTGGTGCAGTTGTGAGCATGGAATTAATCTCTGAAAAAAAGCTATGTTCTAGGAAATTTGACCTGTAAATATAAGTTTCTTTTGTACACACCCACCCTTACTGTGTGCATGTGATGCAATGTGATGCATACACACTGACAAATGCACTTAGGCTATAGCAATGGCAAAATGGTTAGGAATTTCAAATACAATATAACCTTACACAAAGATGCATGCACATAAACAAAATTTAGAGTCCCTGCGCATCTGAGAGAGAAAGCTCCTGTAAGCCAGAAAAGTTTGTGAGGAATTTATCATCTGTTATGGAGTTTAAACAATCATGTATTGAAGATTGTCCTTTCTTTAAGTAGACCACTTTGGTGGGTCTCAAATTCTATAACTGCTTAAATAATCATGTATTGAAGAGATTGACCTTCTTCGAGTTGCGTTGCTAAACTACTTTGGTGGGTCTCAAATTTTGTAGCTGTTTAGTGAAACCTTTTTTTTTTTTAGGGGGTCAAAATTTGGACAATGCTTGAGTCCATTCAAATACCTTTTTTGGGTATGTAAGATTCTTTGTAGACACCCACCCAAAAAGATTCTTTGTAGACAATACAAGGGCATTCCCCACGCTAGCCTCCGACAGTAACACAGTGAGACAAACTGACTAAAGAGGCCAACAACAAATCTTAAAAAATGCAGCACATTCTTCACACATTATCGACAAAACATCCAACTTCACAACAATGTATTACAACTAAGAACAAAGATCAAACAGCAGCAAATATAGCAGCAACATAGCAATAAGTAGCAGAGACCATAGCTACACCCAGCAAAACTGCAGCCACAAGCCTCAGAAGACTCAATCAGCAACACTGCTTCATCAGGTCAAAAAAATCTTCACCACCTCAGTAAACTCCTAAACCAAACTTCCTTTCAAAAATTGTGCCGGGAATGTTTCATTGACTTTGCAAGCATCTATTCATGTTACTAATAAGCATAGGCCTTAGTTTGAAGCATTCCAATACTTTTTATACCTTATAGTTTGTTGTATAACTCCTATAATTAGTCATTTTTAAAGACCTTTTGTTTCTTGTTTCTAGATTCCATCAAATGGCTTTGAAGCTGCCTCCAAGCTCCGGATTCTGGATCTAAGTGGTAATGCAGGTTGTTTACCAGAACATCCAGCCTTTTCTAGCCTACCTCTGTTGCAAGAGCTTTATCTGAGGTCTGTCATAGAGAAATAATGCTTGTGTCAGTGAATTTGATACCCTCTTCAGTTCCTGTACTATTCATCTCACACTTCTCATTTGGTGAACAGAAGGATGCGTATATCTGAAATTCCATCAGATTTATTAGGATTACAGAAATTACGGGTTCTTGATCTGAGCCAAAATTCTCTTCACTCAGTTCCAGAGGTAAGTTTTGTTCTTTCTTATAGAACTTGTTTTCTGCATACAAATCCCCCATCAATCAATTTAAAGTTTGTTAATACTTATGTTTATCAACCCAGCAATACTGATCTTAACTGTAGCTGATAGAGGTCCAGTTAGTGTCAAATTGATTCTGCTGTTTTTTGGGTTAAGACAACCCAAAATATTTCTTACTTGTATTCTTGATTGTGGGAAAGCAAGTTGTTGCCCTAGTTTCTTTTTGTTGCTTGGAAGTGCCTAGTGTGTATACCAATGACTAATTCATTTTAACAAATTTGCTTTTGCTCTTGTACAGCTCTATTCCTAGATACAATTGGAGTGCTATGCTTATTATATTGGTAATTTAGGGAATGTAAAGCAAAACTGTACAGTTGTCAGGGGACATAATTGTGGACATTTTAGTATCTTAAATGTTTATATGTTACTGCACTCATACTTTTATTTCATCAGAAATATAACTTTGATTCTCTTACATATCTTTGTCTAATGATATATTAGGTCTTTCACCAACATTTATTTTCACTTTAAACTTTTATGTCTTCCTTTTAGTGACAATTCTGTGTATCATTTGAGCATTTAATTTTTTTCTGAAGTCATTGTTAAATGTTAATGCTTTAATTGCTGGATCTTTGCTGAAAATTCATTGGAAGTTAACTTCATGACTTTTTGTTGTGGTGATTTATAAGTTACTACACGTGGAAACCTCTTGACAGTGTCACTTTGACGGAATGGCAAGGTGTAAACAAATGAAACTAGTTATTGGTGGGAACCTTGATTTGATTGGGTTCAGATTCACACTTAGTGGAAGTCTTCTTGGATATTCCACCTTTATTATTGTCGATAAGTTATGTAGTATAGGCTTAACGAAATATATATAATTATGTGGTAAAGCAAAAGATATAGGTGTCGTAGCATCTTTTGTGCTGCCACATGTCATGTGCACATAGGTAGTGATGGGTGTCTTGCTTAAGAGCCTGCATATGTTTGGCTTCAAGGGACAGTATGAAACTTATTATTAGTGATTACAATTTTTCTCATTTGGTGTAACTAAATTTTTTTCCCATTTTACGGTCGAAGTTCTAAATTTTTATTTTGTATATCCTGTTATTGTCTTGCAGGGTTTCAAAATTCTGACTTCTCTTACTGAGCTTGACCTTTCAGACAACAACATTACTACACTTCCCCCCGAGCTGGTCAGAATACAAAACTGTTTTCGTTTTACAATAATATTTGGGGATATCATAAACTGCAGTACTAATTGATAACGTGATGCTGCACTAGTCCTGATATTTTGATGATAAATGATTTAATATTCTTTGAACAATCATCCTCTCCTGGCCCTATATACTGGGAAATGACTAAAATATATTGTTATTGTCAATATGATCTTACATTCCTGATACTCACTTTCTATACCTGTTTATTGAGTTTGAGAAATGGTTTATTGGAAAAAATAGATCTTTCTGCCTTAACCTAGTATGCGTTTTTTTAAAACAAATTAAATGGTTTCCTGGTGCTTTGCTTAATTGTGTGACTCGCATTGGCTTTCTTTTCTTTTTTCTTCTTTGTTTTAGTAAAATTAATACAAGGTGTCCCAACTGATAGTTTTGTGATACTTTGCAACACATTTGTGGAGGGTTTTCTTCACTTAGCTTGCATGATAGGATTTTGCATACTTGATTCAATACATTCTTCTCAGCTGGAAACTTGTTCTGCAGGGATTGCTTGAACCCACCCTACAGGTGTTGAGACTTGATGGAAACCCATTAAAAAGGTGCTCTCTCTCTCTCTCTCTCTCTCTCTCTCATTGTATATGGTTAATAGGAGAGTCGTGTTTCACATATTAGCATCTTGTGGCAGTGGTCTGTTTGGCGTAGTTCCTTTTTTTTTCTTTTTTGCTTTCATTTTTTCATGAACAGAAAACACTGGAAAGTTTGAAACATCAATTGTTTTCTGCGAAAACAATTTTTGAAAATTCAAAAATAACTTTTAGGAGTTTCCTAAAAATTGGGTTGTTTTCAGAATTTTTTTCCAACCACAGTTTGTTGAACAAGTTTTAAATATTTGTTGAACGAGGTTTAAATAACTCAAAAGCTCCTTCATTCCTCTCAACTCCCTATTGGTAATGGATAAAAAAGGAATGCAATCAAAACCAGGCCTTAGGTTGTCATGTTTGACTCTCTGAGTCGTACTTAGCCAAACTTGGTTGTTAGGTAAAATTTGAGGATTATGTGTTTAGAGCGATCTACTGAAGATACCTGAGAGATATCTAGGTCAATCACCAAACAAATAGGAAATCAAACCCTATTTGGAAACATAATCAAATATCCTATGCAAATATTTATTTAAGCCCTAACTAAATGAAATAAGAAATCTACCATCCACGCAATGGACCCGAATGCTTCAATGGGCTTCCAAAGCAGATAATGGCCTTCCAGTCATCTATGTGTTTCTCAGAGTGTAAATTAAAAACGTTACTTGTCTAAATATCGTGGTATGTGGAATAGAGTGCTCGTTTTTCGTGTTAACTTTTGATCATTTTAGTATCCTTTTTCATTGTGCTGCCTAGTTACATAATTAAAACAAATAAAGTGACAGAAAAAGCATTAAGGCCATGTTTGTTTGGGTGGACATGAGCTTGGGATTGGACTAATAGTCCAATAAAATTATTAATCCGATATTTGGTTAAACAATTGAATTATGGATTAATTATTTTAAACTTGACTATTAGTTAAGATAGGATACATAATCCAACGGATTGGTAGTCCTAGGACTATTAGTCATGAGAATGCTAATCCAGTCCGCCCAAACAAACATGGCCTAAGTTGATGGGAATTTCATAAGCATTCTTGTTGCTTTATGTAGTTTCATCTGTAGAACTTTCAAATAATGATTATGCTTGAAGAATGTAATACCATTTTACATTGATGCAATAACATGCTGCTCTAATACGTTTTTTTTATAATTTCTTCCCCAGCATTCGGAGGACAATTTTGGATCGTGGAACTAAAGCTGTTCTGACATATTTGAGGGACAAAATTGTGGAGCACTAGTTTGTCGGCTAAGGATTCCCTGTCCCCCAAAAATTCTTGGCCCTATGTACCAAATCACTCATAACCATTGGATATGTCTTGGGATTCTCAAATCTTGAGATTCTCAAATGATCCAATGATTATGAGTGATTTGGGACATGGAGACAGATTTTTGGGGACAGGATCCTTACTCTAGTTTGTCCTCGTGTGTGTGTGTGTGTGTGTGTGTGTGTGTGTGAGAGAGGTGTGTGTGTGAGAGAGTAATTATCCTATGTTCCGGAGATTCGATGTTAGCAAGAACTAAATGAATACACGATCCTATTTAATTCTGGTGTGTGAGAGAGGGGTTGTGACACGTGATTTGAGCATGGGCTGAGCTATGCATGAAGTAGTGGGTTGAATTGAATCGACTGAACTTTGATTTTTTATTTTTATTTTATAGAACTATGGACTATTATATAAAATTTTTGAGAGGTTTTCATAAATTGACACCATTAAAATTGTTAAAAAAAAAAAAAAAAAACTTATCAACAAAAAAATTTTGTTTAAAAAAATAATTAATTCTTTATTTATCATATTTTTATATCATTTTTTATTTAGCATGCATAATTATTAGTAGTTGAATATGAATATGAATGATACTACTATGGATACAGTTACAACAATCATTGTGTATGTCACACATTAGATGTCGTGTAAAAATATAGTGAGTGAGTGTAGCCTTAATAAATATTATGATATCATTTTTTTTGTGAATAATGATATAAATACATCATTTCTGTATAAAATGATGTAATTTAAGATAGGCCTTTCATTTTAAAATTTAATGTTTTTAATTTATAACATCATTTTTGTGATTTTTCCCCCCCTATTATTCAGTATTTTCAATGCACAATATCAGTGTAATACATTTTATACTGAGTTTAACTATCTGACTAATAACTAAAAGTGATAACAAACTCTCAATTTTGTCACCTTATGACTTGTTATTTCCACATCTTTAATGATTTCATTAGCTTGTTTTCAGTGCAAAATTAATAAAATATCGGATTAATCTGATATAATGATATCACAAGATCTCAAAAAAAATTTAGATGGGAAAGAAAATTTTCATTGCAAAATTAATAAAAGATCGGATCAATCTAATATAATGATATCACAAGATCTAAAAAAAGATAAGAACTTAGAAGGATCTAAGCCTCCATAGAGGAGGAGAAAAGACCCTCACAAGAGAGGGAAACAAACATTCTCACATAAAAGATTATTATATCAACAAACTAAAAATTAAAAAAAAATAAACTGAAATAATCTAGATCCAAATCGTCACCATACTCATTCAAAACTCTACTGTTTATTAACCTTCAACTTGGGATGTGAAGATTCCACCTTTGCTGGTCAAGATAGAATATTGAGGTTGAGGCGATCGTTTTGGAATGTGAAGACTCCACATTTGCTGGTCAATATAGAACATTGAGGTTGAGGTGATCGTCGTGGAATGTGAAGACTCCACCTTTGCTGGTCAAGATAGAATATTGAGGTTGAGGTGATCGTTTTGGAATATGAAGACTCCATCTTTGCTGGTCAAGATTGAACATTGAGGTTGAGGTGATCATCTAGTGTGAAATAAACGGGTTATTCAGAGTTAGTATTAGGAAGTCAAATTTTAAAGTGTTGGACTCAAGGGTGGAGAAGGTAAGGAGGTGATGGGCAGACTGGTGAGACAAATATCAAATCTAGAGGAGGATCAAAAAGAGGAAGAGTAAAGGGAGTCCAGAGGAGGATCAAAGAGAGTTGGGATATGAAGACTCACATTTGCTGGTCAAGATAGAACATTGAGGTCGAGCTGATCGGCTAGTGTAAAACAAACATGTTATTTAACGTCAGTATTAGGAAAGCTAATTTTATAGTGTTGGACTCAAGGGTGGAGAAGGTAAGGGGGTGATGGCCAGATTGATGAGAAAAATATCAGAAGGAGGATCAAAAAGAGGAAAAGCAGAAGGAGATCAGAGAAGTAGGAGAATCACCGCTGTCTCCCCATATTGTTTGGTGGCATTCCCATATTATTTGGAGGCCATATTGTTTGGTGGCATTCCCATATTATTTGGAGGCATTCGTCCCATGTTTTGCTGCTGCATGCCTCCCATGTTATTAGGTGGCATCCCACCCATATTGGGCTGGCCACCTCCCATGTTATTGGGGGGCATTGGTCCCGTATTGGGTGGTGGTCCCATGTTGGATCCAGGTGGCCCCATGTTGGATCCAGGGTTCTGGAAATCTCGATTCTGCATATTCTCTCTCCTTCTTTCAAAGTTTCTTGATCTGTCAAAGTTACGAGGTCTGTCATTGCGCCTATTTCTATCATTTGCCCGAGCATTGTTTCTCACCCATTCCTCGTGGTACTTGGGGTCATAAGGTACAGCTTGTCCATTAATGAAAGGCTCCCCTGCCACAAACAGAAGAAAATTTCATATGGCAAGTGATCATGCATGCAGCAGGAATGCAACACTTTTTTCTTGAGAAAAAATGCCACTGTTTAGTGCTTGAAAAGCTGTTTTCATATTATAATCACCAACTTATTGGTTGACCGAAAAGATAAAAAACTGAAAAATCTGTTACACATTGAGAGCCACATGGATGTAACGTAATAACACCGAATTCCTTATTTCATATCATAAATTTAAAGTTTTTGACTTGATCTTTTTTATTAGATAGTAAAAGTATATTACTAAAACTTAAGGGGTGGATCCTGTACACTCTAAAGGGCCAGAACCAGAATCCATACATCCACTAACAAGTACAAGTCTTAGTCTGGTTTATCTTTAATTACAAATTTTCACCTAAATTCTTCTTAGAAAATAAAATGACATAACACCGACAAGAAAAAATGACTACCCTTTCGCTCTAACCAGATTTGTTCATAGAGGATCTACTAAATCTAAATGTTTAACATAGAATATCTAAAAAATGAAATCCACTAAACTTCCCCAAACTCATGGCTATGTTAGAAGAGACTAAATGCCACAGAAAGTTGATCTGATTCAATTTGAATGCCTTGGAAGATATAAGAATGCCAAAAGAAGATTAGTGAGAGTGAGATACAAGTACAATAGTTTGTTAACTGACAGAAGACAGGAATGTAGAAAGAGATTAGACAGGAAAAGGGCCATGGACCTAGTTATCTTAAAATCTATTGTTCTAAGCTTACATTCAGTCAGGTACAATAGAATTTGATTTATAGCGTCAAACCAATCAACTCTTAAAGCGTGGATATGACATACTGACCAACTATCCCCAAAGCCTTAGGCACATACCCTACGTTAAAATTGGGTTTCATATGAAAACATCTACTTGGTAGTTTTCAATTTCCACTTCACACCAAATATAACCCAGTTTATCACCATAACTGCCACAAATGTATTTATGAATGAATCATATATGTTTAGCCTACCATATATTTTTATATTTAGAGAAGTTAAAATTTGATTGAAATGTCTAGCTTCAATGATGTGTTCTTTAATTTATGGTATTTCCAGATGCCTCCTCATGGAACAAGAAATATCATACCTCCATAATCTTTATTCCTAACATCCAAGTAAGAGTCAGGAAGCACCCAACGAACCCCTGGCAATTCTGCATAATATTTAAGAAGGTGTTCTTAGAACTTGCATACCAAATATCAAATGCAAAAACAAAACACGAAATGTGTCAGTAAGTACCTTTGATTTTGTATGAAACTTCTTCAGATACAAGGGCTCCAAATGCAAAATAGTGTCTAGTTGAGACTGAATAGATTTTCATCCTTGCTTCCTCCTCACTGCAAAATAGAATATGCATAAACCCAATACAAATTTTAAATAAAAAACAAATTTTTGGTACCATTATAGCATATCACTTTTTACCTAAGGAAAAACATCTTAAACACTAGGATGGCATATAGACGACAAGTAAAGATATAGTTTCATAGTTGAAAAAAAAAATACGTTAATTGCACTAGAACAAGTAACACAAATTCATAAACAGGCAGAACTAACTAACAAATAACTCATTTGTATCACTAACTCATGCCAATCTCTCACTTCCAATTATGGGTTAAAAAGAGAAAATATTTCCGCTTAATATTTCATAAACCAAAAGCCTCGTTTCTCAACACAACTTAATCAGAACTCCATCTTATATAACAACGCAAAAGGACTAAAGGAACAATTAACTATCTAGTGTTCTATTTTCCTGCAAGTTCTCTGCAATAAAAACGTACATCTTTCGAGCAAAGAGCGTATGAGTATTACCAAAAATACAACCAAATAGCATTTTTCACATTTCTCATACTTTCCTAGTAAGAAGAGGGGCATTTTTTTGAAAAACAAGAAAACAGATAATTTATTATTGAAAATCTTATTCCTATAGTACACGTAACATAAGAAAAAACGAAAAGCTTGAGAATAAAATTCAAACCTCCCAACAACTTTAGCTAGGGTTTTGATGTAGCTATCGATGATCTCGTCTCTGGTGGGTTCACCCTCAGGTTTCTCCACAACAACAAGCCAGTGCTCGAAATCGCAACCATCGATAAACATGCAGAACTAACTAACACAAATTCATAAACATGCAGAACTAACTAACAAATAACTCATTTGTATCACTAACTCATGCCAATCTCTCACTTCCAATTATGGGTTAAAAAGAGAAAATATTTCTGCTTAATATTTCATAAACCAAAAGCCTCGTTTCTCAACACAACTTAATCAGAACTCCATCTTATATAACAACGCAAAAGGACTAAAGGAACAATTAACTATCTAGTGTTCTATTTTCCTGCAAGTTCTCTGCAATAAAAACGTACATCTTTCGAGCAAAGAGCGTACGAGTATTACCAAAAATACAACCAAATAGCATTTTTCACATTTCTCATACTTTCCTAGTAAGAAGAGGGGCATTTTTTTGAAAAACAAGAAAACAGATAATTTATTATTGAAAATCTTATTCCTATAGTACACGTAACATAAGAAAAAACGAAAAGCTTGAGAATAAAATTCAAACCTCCCAACAACTTTAGCTAGGGTTTTGATGTAGCTATCGATGATCTCGTCTCTGGTGGGTTCACCCTCGGGTTTCTCCACAACAACAAGCCAGTGCTCGAAATCGCAACCATCGAGCAGTATCGTCTCCTTCGGGGGACGATTGGACCAGTTAGGGTTCGGATCGTTGAGAGACGACGAGGTCTGGCGAGTGGAGAACCCTCGGATGGAAGACGCCGCCGGAGAGAGGCGGCGGAAGTGGGCGGAGACAGCGACGAGAGGGCGGAGGCGGAGGATAGAGGAAGGAGTAGAGAGAGAAGATGAAGGAGTATAGAGAGAAATAGAGGTGTAGGAGCGAGAGAGGACCGAAGAGATGGTTTGTTTGGTTGTGAGGAGAGAGCGAGTGAAGAAGCGAGTCGCCATTTTTTTGACCTCAGCAAAACCCTAACCCTGAGCGTGGATAGAGAGTGAGACAGAGATGAGGGTTTTGGATAGGGTTTATATAGACAGATATTTCGTCAGATGCCCTTGTAATTTCAGAAAATCACATAAATATCTCCTTGTCCTTCTGTCAACACGTGTGAATCGCATCGCACGGGCCTGTATTTCTAATGGTTCTTCTTTTGTTTTTTTATAAATTTGAATAAAAGTTCTATATGATATAAATGTTTCCACATAAATTTTTATGGTTTTATCCGAACACAAGTTGATCAGGCGGATATCCGGTCAGTGAAATTTTACCTTGAAATGGTCATTCGAAGACTTCTGGGGGACATCCAGTGATGAACGTTCAACGGATATGAACAATAATTTGATGAAAAGTACATATATCCTCAATTTGATAAAAGATTTAGTTTTGAGTTGGATCAGGAAAAAAAAAAACCATTTAGTGAACCATTGCAGATGGTCTTAATTAATTATAGTTTCCAATAAATAAAAAATTCCAATTGAATATTTACTTTTAAAATCTAATATTATTTAGAAATCTTAAATAGAGGAAGATGAGCATGCTAAATAGAATTGTTTTCAAGTTTTAATCTTCTTCTCTCTTTTTTTTGTTATTATTATAAATACCTTCAATTTTAATTTAACAAATAAATTTATTCTTATTTCTACATCAAAAACTTATTCATTAGATAAAGTTATTGCTTTCTTTCTCATTGGAAGTTAGCTAAAGCTATTAAGATTGTTAATTTAGCATTTTCTTTTTTCTTTTCTTTCTTTGCTACCCAATTTTAAATTTATCAAAATCTTTTGACATGCAAAAATAAATTAATTAATTAATTAATTGATTTTTTTGTAATAACTTTTTAATTAAAATTGTGACTTCTCAAAATAAGCCTTAATATCAAACTAGTAAAATGATTGGGTTTAAAAAATGAACAAATCCTAACATGAACAAATCAAATTATCAAGAGGAACCAGAACCCAAACAGGGCAATCTAATCTTCTCTTTGGTCCTCTATAAGTGATATTACTTTCAGTTTTGCTTTATAATTTTGGTTGGTGGTAACATGTGAAGGTCCAAATTATCATTTTCTCAACCCAACCTTGCCCCTACAGTGAATGATGAAATTACCCAATCACAGTTTTTTCAGTACTCCGTCTAAAACCAATTGCTACTGTAAATTCAAAATTCTGGCCCAAAAAAGGTGAAGGGTGGATAGTTTAAATATGCAGTCCAGTCCTCAACTCATTTATATATATATATATATATACTTCTGTACAAGACCCGCAAACTTTGATACATATATTAAGATATGGATCCAACTTTCACATTAGTCCCTGGAACTAGGAAATTTGACCTGTAAATATAAGTTTCTTTTGTACACACCCACCCTTACTGTGTGCATGTGATGCAATGTGATGCATACACACTGACAAATGCACTTAGGCTATAGCAATGGCAAAATGGTTAGGAATTTCAAATACAATATAACCTTACACAAAGATGCATGCACATAAACAAAATTTAGAGTCCCTGCGCATCTGAGAGAGAAAGCTCCTGTAAGCCAGAAAAGTTTGTGAGGAATTTATCATCTGTTATGGAGTTTAAACAATCATGTATTCAAGTTTCTTAAGGAAGTTGTTTGCCTAAAGTGAAATCCGCCTCTAACTCCCAAGCCGGGAACCCGATTCGAGCCCCGTCTTCTCCCACAAGTGTCCCGTGCCTAGGCGGTTGCGTGTGCCAAGTTTCGTGCTAAACCGACACTGTTTGGTGATTTTGGGGCGTTAACTCATCGAATTCAAGTTTCTTAAGAAACTAGTTTGCCTAAAGTGAAATCTGGCTCTAACTCGCAAACCGGATAACCGATTCGAGCCCTGTCTTCTCCCACAAGTCTCTCGTGCCTAGGCGGTCGTGTGTGCCAAGTTTCGTGCTAAACCGACGCCGTTTGGTGATTTTGGGGCGTTAACTCCTCGAATTCAAGTTTCTTAAGGAACTAGTTTGCCTAAAGTGAAATCCGGCTCTAACTCCCAAACCGGGAACCCGATTCGAGCCCCGTCTTCTCCTACAAGTCTCTCGTGCCTGGGCGGTCGTGTGTGCCAAGTTTCGTGCTAAACCGACGCCGTTTGGTGATTTCGGGGCGTTAACTCCTCGAATTTAAGTTTCTTAAGGAACTAGGTTGCCCAAAGTGAAATCCGGCTCTAACTCCCAAACCGGGAACCCGATTCGAGCCTCGTCTTCTCCCACAAGTCTCTCGTGCTTAGGGGGTCGTGTGTGCCAAGTTTCGTGCTAAACCGACGCCGTTTGGTGATTTTGGGGCGTTAACTCCTCGAATTCAAGTTTCTTAAGGAACTAGTTTGCCTAAAGTGAAATCTGGCACTAACTCCCAAACCGGGAACCCGATTCGAGCCCCGTCTTCTCCCACAAGTCTCTCGTGCTTAGGCGGTCGTGTGTGCCAAGTTTCGTGCTAAACCGATGCCGTTTGGTGATTTTGGGGCGTTGATTCCTCGAACTCAAGTTTCTTAAGGAACTTGTTTGCCGAAAGTGAAATCCGGCTCTAACTCCCAAACCGGGAACCCGATTCGAGCCCCGTCTTCTCCCACAAATTTCTCGTGCCTAGGCGGTCGTGTGTGCCAAGTTTCGCGCTAAACCGACGCCGTTTGGTGATTTTGGGGCGTTAACTCCTCGAATTCAAGTTTCTTAAGGAACTAGTTTGCCTAAATTGAAATTTGGCTCTAACTCCCAAACTGGGAACCCGATTCGAGCCCCGTCTTCTCCCACAAGTCTCTCGTGCCTAGGCGGTCGTGTGTGCCAAGTTTTGTGTTAAACCGACGCCGTTTGGTGATTTTGGGGCGTTAACTCCTCGAATTCAAGTTTCTTAAGGAACTTGTTTGCCTAAAGTGAAATTCGACTCTAACTCCCAAACCGGGAACCCGATTCGAGCCCCGTTTTCTCTCACAAGTCTCTCGTGCTTAGGCGGTCGTGTGTGCCAAGTTTCGTACTAAACCGACGCCGTTTGGTGATTTTGGGGCGTTAACTCCTCGAATTCAAGTTTCTTAAGGAACTAGTTTGCCTAAAGTGAAATCTGGCACTAACTCCCAAACCGGGAACCCGATTCGAGGCCCGTCTTCCCCCACAAGTCTCTCGTGCTTAGGCGGTCGTGTGTGCCAAGTTTCGTGCTAAACCGACGCCGTTTGGTGATTTTGGGGCGTTAATTCCTCGAATTCATGTTTCTTAAGGAACTTGTTTGCCTAAAGTGAAATCCGGCTCTAACTCCCAAACCGGGAACCCGATTCGAGCCCCGTCTTCTCCCACAAATTTCTCGTGCCTAGGCGGTCGTGTGTGCCAAGTTTCGCGCTAAACCGACGCCGTTTGGTGATTTTAGGGTGTTAACTCCTCGAATTCAAGTTTCTGAAGGAACTAGTTTGCCTAAATTAAAATATGGCTCTAACTCCCAAACTGAGAATCCGATTCTAGCCCCGTTTTCTCCCACAAGTCTCTCGTGCCTAGGCGGTCGTGTGTGCCAAATTTCGCGCTAAACCGATGCCGTTTGTTGATTTTGGGGCGTTAACTCCTCGAATTCAAATTTCTTAAGGAACTAGTTTGCCGAAAGTGAAATCCGGCTCTAACTCCCAAACCGGGAACCCGATTGGAGCCCCGTCTTCTCCCCCAAGTCTCTCGTGCCTAGGCGGTCGTGTGTGCCAAGTTTCGTGCTAAACCGACGCCGTTTGGTGATTTTGGGGCGTTAACACCTCGAATTCAAGTTTCTAAAGGAAGTAGTTTACCTAAAGTGAAATCCGGCTCTAACTCCCAAACCGGGAACCCGATTCGAGCCCCGTCTTCTCCCACAAGTCTCTCGTGCCTAGGCGGTCGTGTGTGCCAAGTTTCGTACTAAACCGACGCCGTTTGGTCATTTTGGGGCGTTAACTCCTCGAATTCAAGTTTCTTAAAGAAGTAGTTTGCCTAAAGTGAAATCCAGCTCTAACTGACAAACCGGGAACCCGATTCGAGCCCCGTCTTCTCCCACAAGTCTCTCGTATATAATAAACATGGTATAAGCAATAACTAAAACATTAGCATTAGATCAATGTTTAACTCATACAAACCAACGTACAACACAATCTAATTCTATAACAGATATGTCCATATTTCATTCCACTTTCCTTTATTTCTCAAATTTCCAATTCATAACTTGGCTCAGAACCCGACCAACAATTTAATGAGACTACGACTCATATTAAAACACTTCATTTTTAAATGAGATAACAACTCATATCAAAACACTTCAA